TTATAGGCATGAGCCACTGCGCCCAGTCGAAAATGACAGTATTTTTAATGGCATCCTAGGAAAACCAGAGAAGACCATTAGAGGGGCTTCAGCAGCTTAGGGCCCCCTTCTGCTACTCTGAGGGGTAACAGAAGTGAAACGTGGGGCACAGCAGACAAACATCTCTAGTAATAAGCTATGTGATCTCAGATAAGCACTTTTGGGCTTGGTCAGGGCTGCCACACCTATAAAAGATCAGAAATTGGGCCAGGCACGGTGGCGCATCCTATAATCCTAGCACTTTGGGAGGCCAAGAAGGGTGGATCACCTGAGGTCAGGAGTTCACGACCAGCCCAACCAACATGGTAAAACCTCGTCACTACTAAAAGTACAAAGTTTAGCCAGGCGTAGTGGCGCTTGCTTGTAATCCCAGCTACTTGGGAGTCTGAGGCAGGAGAATCGCTTGAATCTGGGAGGTAGAGGTTGCAGTGAGCCGAGATTGCACCATTGCGCTCCAGCCTGGATGACAAAAGTGAAACTCTTTTGTCTCAAAAAAAAAAAAAAATCAGAAATTAATTTTCTTCCTTTCTAAATTTTGTCTGCATTCTGGAGCTAATGGCCATGCCTTATCACCAATCGCTCTGAGACTATTGAAGTAGAAAAGCTGGAGTCATTCCTCATATTCTTTTCCTGTCAATCACCAGATCTTGCCAATTCTCCTACCTAAATATTCTTTAAATTCATCCATTATTTTCTCTTTCTATTTCTCATTTTCACCTAAACTGTGCAGTAGCCTCCTACGCGATCTCCCTGCTTCTAGGCTTTCTTCAATTATTATCCATCCCACATTGCAACCGTAGTTACAAAAAATGAGTAAGTCATGTTTCTCTCCTACTATAAAGCCTCTGGAAATTCCCCACTGACAACAGAACCTTTAAAAATCGGCCCAATCTTACTTTACCAGCCAGCCTCTCCTACAACACAATTAACTATACCACACAGGTAAATCTAAATTCCTATGCAACCTGAACTTACTTTGCTTCATATCTGGAACACCCTATAGAGCTTGGAAATTTTAAATATTATTAATTAAGCAGTGAACACATGTTGTAAACATCTACAGGTGTAAAGAATATAGTTAACAATAAAAGATAACTGATAACAAAAATTTAACATATTTGAGAAGATGCTGAAAGAGTCATCTGCAGAGCCATATATTCAAGAATTATCTAACTGAAAAGACAAAGTGATTATTATTAAATTTTTGCATAGAAGAAATTAAAACATTATGCAGATATCTGGTAAGATATGAACAAAAGAGGTCTGTTTGTTTGTTTAAACATTAATGAGGACCTACACTTTTAAAATGATGAATGGAACCTCTGTACACTAGTTCAATTCACCATTGTAATGCTTTACATATACTCAACTAACCTTTGTAAATAGATTCAAGATTCAAAGTTGTCTAATATCACTCTAAGATTCTACACAAATTTCAAGTTTATATCATTAAGTTTCTTCTTGAGTACTTTTGGAAGATAAATTGTGGTCAAGATAGTTTTTATTGATATGGCAGGAAAATAAAATCACTAAAGTGATACTAATTGTTGCACTTAAAAGCATCTTTTCGATCTCTTTTTCTCTATTGTCTACCCCCTTTTGAACAATTGTAAAGCTGTTTTATTTTCCAGATTCTGTACTGCATCAAGGGCATAATGAATGCCTTTATTATTATGTTTTTTACAGTGTCACTCAGAATAGCTCTTTCTGTGTTTACAGTAACAAGATCACCTTAAATAAAGGTAGTTTTACTTTATGGAAAAACTTAACCAGCTGAATTTATCTCCCTTTATCTTATCTCATAACCTAGTTAGGAAACATATAAGCTAGTCATCTTATGGAGAAATTTAGATGGAAAAGAATGGCATGTAGACCCTCTACATTATGTCAGAAACACTTAAGAATATATATTTTGTATTAGTATCTTCTAATGATAAATAATCCCATAATATTATCAGTTGACTTTTATATAATGATGATTTTCCTTAAATTGTCAACATAACAGATAAAAAAACCATTTCTTCAAGTATTCCACATAGGCATAAGGTACCAAAATATCATTTATAAACCATGATTTATAATGTACTTTTTGCATATATTATCTCATTTAGACCTCACGGGTCACCCTAAGAAGTATTATTAGTTAGTTATTATTATTTTTTGAGACAGGATCTCACTCCGGTTGCCCGGGCTGGAGTACAAATGGCATGACCTTGGCTCACTGCAGCCTTGAGCTGCCAGGCTCAGGCGGTCCTCTCCCCTACCTCCTGAGTAGCAGGACCACAGGTCCGTGCCACCATGCATGGCTAATTTTCTCGTATTTTCAGGAGAGACAGGGTTTTGCAATGTTGCCAAGACTGGTTGAACTCCTGGGCTCAAGCAATCCACGTACCTCAGCCTCCCAAACTGCTGGATTACAGGTATTAGCCACCATATCCGGCCTATTAGCTCATTTTATAAAAGAGGAAATTAAACTTCAAGGATATTAAGTGACTTATCTGTTGAGCTAGCAAGTGGGAGAACCAGGACTTAAGTTCAGTCTTTTGATCCAAATCTCTTTCATAATTTACTCCCACTCAAAGAATAATGTCTTATTTCCAAATGCATAAGAGGGTCCATAACATTTCAGTCACATAAAACCTACTAAGCAAGGAGTTATTTATATACTACATCTCAGCACTGTAGTACCTTTCACTGATTTCCCACAGCTCCAAAGTGGCATTTTAAGTAGCTAGAAAATATAAAAAAGACAAAAAGCCTAATTCACAGACTGGGCCAAAGCATATATGCATATTATAATTTCAACTACAGTATGTTTGATGTATCTAAATATTCAAGGTCTCTCTTTGCTTGTATCTATTATTTTCCTAAGTCTTTATATCTTCTACCGTCTTTCTTTTCTCTCAATCCCTTAACTTCAAGAACTACTGGAATGACTGCAGGTCAGATACCAAGACTGGATAGAGTTAAGTTCCACATGCCTTTTCCGTATTAAAGAAGAGAAAAGAAAAAGTATTCTTTTAATATCTTCCAAAGTATAGAAAGCAAATTAAAGGCAAAATATATTTCACTAATTGTTATTTCAGTTTCTTTAGAAAATGTTTGTTGGGGCTGGGTGTGGTGGCTCACACCTGTAATCCTAGCACTTTGGGGGGGCTAAGGCAGGCAGACTACCTGAGATCAGGAGTTAGAGACCAGCCTGGCCAACACTGTGAAACCCCGTCCATACTAAAAATACGAAAATCAGCCAGGCGTGGTGGCATGCACCTGTTATCCCAGCTACTCAGGAGGCTGAGACAGGAGAATCGCTTTAACCCAGGAGGCAGAGGTTGCAGTGAGCCGAGATCATGCCACTGCATTCCACCTGGGAGTTCAAGGCTCCGTCTCAAAAAAAAAAAAATGTTTATTGGGGAAGAGGTAAGGAGACTAAATATAAACATGCAAGTATAAGTACTTAATCGATTTCAACTCACTGTAACAGTACACTTTGATAAAACACCACTAATTAACACAATTATACATCTTAGGCCAAAGATTAATTTACCTAAACACACACACACACACACACACACACACACACACAATCCCAAATTTGTAAACTTATTATGAATTTCATGTTTTATAACAGAAAATATTAAAATTCTTTCTTTAGCCATTTTAAGTTCTAAGATTTCAAAAGAAATAATTTATAATTTATTTTTTACTGTGTGGAAGATTAGTATAATACAGGCTCTAACTACAGTTAAATCAGCCACAGTGAAGAAACTATGATCCCCAAAGATTCAGTCACATAAAATACAGGTTGAATTACTGTGAGATTAAAATGATAAAGTCAAGCCTGTACAACTAGCTAGTTAGGTGTCCTGTGCAATTCAAATTCATCTGGGCTCAGGGTGAAATTTGGCACCACCTGGTGGCAACTGTCCACTCTAACCTCAGTATATACCCGATCAATTTTGAGTCCTGTGGCTGGCTGGGGCATCTACACGGTAGCCCCAATCCTAGAAATCCCCTGGTTTAGGTAGTGTCTATTTTTACGTGGATAGGGGCCAGAAGAACACTAAAGACAAGGACATCTGCTTTCAGTTTGCCTCCTTCAAGGAATGGCTCTGTTGGCTGTTTCTCCACACAGTCTTACCAACCTACCCCCACCAACCACATTTATGTTACAACGGGATAAACAAATTTGAAGATTTTTTAAGAACTGCAAAAACAGCTAAAAAATTAGAAAATTTTCAAAATGATTACATACCAAAGTTTATACAGCTATGTGGATTGCTTGGGAATAACCATAGAAATTTCCCACAAATTTTAAAGTTATTATATCACTCAGCAAAAGCCTATTAAATCCACAACAGAACTGAACCACAGAATCAACAGTACTTATCTGTAAAATAGAAATAATATTACCTATACCACAGGCCTCTCTAATGCCCACATCTTTCTCTTGAGGCTCAGAATCTTCTATAGTCAACTCTTTTATTTGGCTATCCCACACACACTTCAAGTGAAACAAATAAATTTATCATTTTCCTATTAAAGCTTTGTATTTTCTAATGTTTTACAAACTGCGTCACTATCGATGCAGCTGTTTAATTCAGAAACCTCACTGACATCCTTGGTGGGATGAGTCCTCACCCCACCAATCCAACCTAGTCACTGAGTCCTGTTGGTTTTATCTCCTAAACATTTTCCCAACCTGGCCCATTTATCTCATCTTTACTGCTACTAATCCAGTTCCATTATCACCTCTCATCTGGATAATGGAAATAACCTCTAAAAGTAGAGCTTCTTTGTCTAACAGGCTTATGCCATTCCAATCTATTCTCTACATTGCAGCAACCTTTTGATATAAATAGTGATCATATCATGCCTCTTCTTAAAATCTTTTAATTCTTCCCCATAGGTCTTACATAATGGTCCAAATGCATTATTTGGGCCCATTTCCCATTTCTGTTTCATCTCTTATAACCCCCTGCCTCTCAGTCTATCCTTCAGCCATGCCAAATTAATTTGTTTGTTTAAAAAACTTCATTTTGTCCTACTTCCAGACTTTTATATATGCTATACATTCATTTCCCCAATTCCTTTCCCTTCCTTAGTTCTCAGTGTTAAAGCAAGCTAAATATGGCCTAAGAAGGACTCTGTACTTCTGTATTTGAGTCCTTAGGGATGAACTGCAACTTAGCTTGATAGGCAGACAAGATGGAAAACCTAACTTGGGGGTACCTGCCTGTAACAACAGCTGAGTCTTGGCCAATCCCAGCAGCCGTACTTCAATCATTCCTATACTGCTGAGTGTTCAAGTAAGTTAAACACCAACCTATAACCAATGCAGCTGTTTCTGCACCTCACTTCCGATTTCTGTACATCACTTTACCTTTTTTGTCTATAAATTTGTTCTGACCACAAGGCACTCCTGGAGTCTCTCTGAATCCGCTGTGATTCTGGAGGCTGCCTGATTTGCGAATCATTCACTGCTCAATTAAACTTTCTATTTAATTTGTCTGAAGTTCTACTTTTAACAGTAGTTTTAGTCAAAATGGGTAGTTCTTCATTTACGAAGTTTTCTCCAATTCCTCCCAAGGCTAGGTCTCATCTTTTATCCTATCATTTTGGTCACCATCATCATACTTAGGATAATTGTTTCCCTATTTGTCTTTACTCTCCATTAGACTACCAGCTTTGTGAAGACAAAGGTCACCACTATCTGTGACGTCTAGAATTTAGCTGGCATACAGTAGGTTTCAATAAATATTTGCTAAAAACATTAATTTGTTGCTCTGAAAATTACATGAGGACGCAAATGTAAAACTTTCCAACATAAAACTTAGCATATAATAGGTGTATATCTCTTCTTTTAGTCTGCATTTTGAACTGTAAGAGCAAGTAATCACAAGGTACAGGATCCTCCTTAATGTAGGGCTGAAACCAAATGAAATTTTGCCAAAGATAAAGAATGTCTTTGGAATTCTCTCTCCAATCTCTTAATAACTCTGCTGCCCTAAGCATGTACATTCATAAAACTGTCATACTTTTGTTATGAACATGAAGGGACAACTAAGTGCAAAAGCAAATGAATCTTAAAATCATAAGGTTATGTGAAGAAGCCACAAAAAATATATGTAATATATAATTACATGTGTATGATACTAATATGAAAAACTAAACAATATTGTAAAGAGATGCATATTTACTGGTAAAATTGGTAATAGAAGTATAAGAAGCAAGGAAGTTACTAGCATAACAGAATAGCAGTTATGGAAGAAAGGAGTTAAATAGGAAGAGTCTCAAGGACATTTCTGTAATGCTACATTGTCCTACTTCTTTATAATTATGTATTAAATGAACATTAGAAAATTTTCTCTGAACATCTTTTATTTTATACACATATATGCAAACATATATACGGCCAAAAAAGAGCAATCATAACATAACTAAACTAAAAAATAATGCTATTAAAAGTGGTACAATATTTCTTTGAGCTACATGGAACAATATTTTCTCGGGATTTAAGATATGAAGGCTAGCTTAGGACTTCAAAGGCCTTACTTACAGAAAAGATTATGGTGCTCCTACTAGTAATTTGATACTCAAATACTAAAAAAAAAAACTAGGTGTAAAGAAATGCAGAAGTGTTTTTACTTTTCCCAAAATAAAAAATATTATTTTTAAAATTAATATGTCAAAACATTTTTAAAGAAATATATAATTTTTAAAGAACATATATATTTGGTGGTGCCCAAAGCATATTTTAAATTTGTCTACTGCTAAGATAGTACTGAATGATCACTTAGAATTTTTATATTTTGAAATTATTTGCCATTTTCATTGAAAATATAATCCTAGATTATAAATATAACACAATTATTTTGAAACGCAAATAAGAGAATAGAAAAAATAGGTAGAAGAGTAAAATCACAAAGTATTTGTTGAATACACAAATGAATTCTTTTGTGTTCAGTGTTTGAAGTTCCTGTTAATTTCCTTCGGCCTATACTTCTATGCAGACTCAAAAAAAGATCAAACAGGTAGATAAAGATCTATGCATGCCAAATTTATGAGGCAACTAATAATTTGATTTTTTATGACTTTCTACTAAGTCATATTAAGCAAACATCCTAAAATAGTTCTGTCATAAATTGTGTATCTACTCCCTTATCACCACAAACATTTTTACCCAAGAACAGAGAAGCCCAAGAACAAAATCATACCTCAGAGGCATTAGGATAAAAACCTCTACCAATCTGCTGTATTAACAATTTAACAGTAATTAAAAAAAAATATCTTTGCTAATTTACTACCAAAGGATAATACTACATATACAGTTTTTATAGTAGTGGCCACCTTACCCATACTATATTAATACAGCAGCTTTTTTCTCTGGAATTAAGGGGTGGATATACCAAATTTTCTGCTACTATACTTCTAGGAGAAATGACATGTTACAATGCTATTATAGATTAAGTCTGATTTAAAGCCTTGCTGACAACAATCAAAATATCGTATGAGCAAATCAGTGCTGATAAACTAATATCACAATTAAGTCCACTTCAAAATAATTTTCTCATTAAAGTATAATCTTTCAAAAGCCATATTAACTATAATAATGGTATAAAAATAACTGCCACTGAAATAAATAGTGTTTATTCCCCCCTATTTCTGCCAATCACTAACTACGAGAGCCTAATATTTACTAACCTCTGCATGAATAAAAATGATGTTTCTTCAGGATTACCTAATGTGACATCTTTCAGAGCTAGCAGCTAAATGAGGCATATGTAATATTTCAAATTACTATTCTAGTTTTAAAGTTTTCAGCAGAAATTGTTGGTATAGTACAGGAAGAACTGTTCTCAATCTGAACTGAAGCAAATGCAAAAAGAGAAGTCACAAGGGTTAAAAAAAAAAAAAGACACAACAGAATACCAGAGCAAAAAGGTTTAAAGTCTAGTAAATCTTGTTCTAAGACTTTAGAACTTTAATCTTCACGTTATATTTATATTTAGATTTATGACAAGTTTTCTTTAAGGTATTATAAAAAAGATATTATCTAACAGAAATAGCATTTAATTTCATAAAGCTTCTATAAACTCCAAAGATAAATAAAACACTACACAAGCATTTTTTTTTTTTTTTTTTTTACCTGTTTTCTCGTTCATACATTTCCCTGGAAGCATTTCGAAGTTGATCAATCTCTTGGTTGGTTTTCAATCTGATTTGTTCTAGTTCATCATGTAGTTTATTTTCATATTCTGTTTTATAATGGTCTCTGCAATGAATCAAAAGGAAAAGCAATAAATTTTATTTTGAAACAAATAGGCTTTTACACTTTATATAAGATTTTAATATCTTTTATCAAGTATGCTCTATATACTATGTTACTTGAAAAACTTAAGTATAAAGTTTTATAATTCCTAAAAATACTATTCCTAACAAGTATGATTTAAGATTTCAACCTGTTAAACATTATTTTCCAAAAGACTTACTATATAAAATCTTAGTAATTGACGTTGGATAATTATTCATCTTTGAAACACTTTGCTAGTAGTTTTAATGCATATAGCTGAGACTTAAAAATTGAGAATGCCCTTCATTTAAAAATAATAATCTGGTATGATGGTTGTTGAGAGGTGAATAATATTAACAAAAATATAAAACTGAAATGACTCTGAGTCTACAAATCCTTTCCTTTCAAGCGTGACAACCACAGCCACATGGCGATCTTTTAGCAAAGTCAAAGTATTATACAGGGTATGAAAAAGTACTACGGGCTAGGAAAAAATTATGAATGTGTGAACTCTTAAAGGTAAAATTCCAAAACCTAAAATGCAATGCAATAAAATAAATAAATGGGGGAAAAAAAAAAAAAAAAGGTAAAATTTGTTTCTGTTTTTTTTTTTTTTTTCTTAAAGAGATAGTGCCTTGCTCTGTCACCCAGGATGAAGTGCAGTGATGCAATCATGTAACCTCGAACTCCTGGGCTCAAACGATCTTCCTGTCCCAGCCTCTTGAGTAGGCAGGACTACAGGTGCTTGACATTGTGCCTCACTAATTTAAAAGCTTTTTTTGTAGAGATAGGGTTTTGCTATGTTGCCTAGGCTGATCTCAAACTTCTGGCCTCAAGCAATCCTCCTGCCTTGGCCTCCCAAAGTGCTGGGATTATAGGTGTGAGCCACTGCACTCAGCATGTTTGTTTCTGGTATGTTAATAAGAATAATTCAAGGATTATAAAAGCTATTAGTATAAAGGTACTTCAGTAACTTCTACACATCTAATAGAAGAAATAAGGCAGGACTGAAACACAGGGAGTCTGACTCAAGGGCATGTAAGTTAAAATACATTGTAATACCACCTCTTCATAATTCTTTTACATTTCACACAGTTAGGAAATCGTTAGCATACTGAGGTTTTCTTCCAAAATATAATTCTATAGAGATACTTTCATACTTTCTTTTAAAAAATACTTCTACAGAGATCTTAGTCATAAGAATTTTTAAAATTCTGTCACAAAAAAAAAAATTGACATAGCACATATCTCTCTATCTAAAAGAAACAGGCTTTTCATATTGTTGAAAAAACCATTGTCTTTTAAAATATTAACTAGAAAGGAATATCATATAAGAAAATAAAATTTCATATTATTTTATATTGTCCTATACATCTTAAAAAATCACTATCTTCCCCAAAGCCAACAGTTCCCTCAAAGAAAATGTGTTAATTGACATCTATTTATGTGGGAAATAATGTAAATCTTGCCTGGATGTTACGTATTTTTCATACATCTCTTCTCTAGCCTTTTTGGTTTCTTCAAGTTGAGTTTGAAGTCTTTCAAGTCGATCCTCTTCATGGGCACAGCGAACACTAAGCTCCATGTTTTGGCGATTGAGATATTCTTTATCCTTTTGCAGTAAAGTAACAGTCTGCTGTAAGGTGGCCACCTACATACATGTAGAGACAAAAATCATACAGAGTGATGCCATCTTACTTTTCAAGGTTGACTGTATTAGTTTCTTTCCTTCATGTTTTCATTCACCACATGACAATTTGCCTTTTAAAAAGGCCTAATTCTTAGAATGCCTTTCTTTAAAATCCAAAAATAGCTACAAAAGTCTCTTTTTGGGGCCGTGCATTGTGGTTCACGCCTGTAATCCCAGCACTTTGGGAGGCCAAGGCAGGTGGATCATCTGAGGTCAGGAGTTCAAGACCAGCCTTGCCAACATGCTGTTGGCTACTAAAATGTAAAAATTAGCCAGGCATGGTGGCACATGCCTGTAATCCCAGCTACTGGGGAGGCTGCGGTAGGAGAATTGTTTGAAACCAGGAAGCAGAGGTTGCAGTGAGCCAAGATCACACCACTGCACAATAGCCTAGGCAACAGGGCAAGACTCCCATCTCAAAAAAAAAAAAAAAAGTAAAATAAAAAAAAAGTCTCTTTTTGGGAACCAAGTATATTAAAAACATGTCTCTCCCTCAAATCTACTCTGGGCTATTTTTTTTCACTAATACTGTACAATAAAATATAAGTGACTCTATTTGTAAGCTTACCTCTTTTGATAATTCACTTCTTTCTCTTGTTTGAATTATGTGAGAGGCTTCAAGTATTTCATGTTTTCTCCTAAGCTCAATTACTTCTTGTTCAAATGCATCACGTTCACTATTAAAAGAAAATTCAAATAGACATATAATTTTGCATCCCCTTTTACAATAAACATTTTTAAAGGGCTGACTATGTATTAGGACACTGAATAGAGACACTAGCAATGGGGCTTGAGTGTAATTCCATGAACTATAAAGTATCTACTTTTCAGATTTAGAAGGAACTCTATTTCAGATCTTGTTCAGATACATAAATACCAATTTATCACTTCTAAGGAATAAATACATAAACTACATAAGCCAGTAAATAATAAAACTTACTAAGGTAGATTTGGTATTTTTTCACTAGTCATCTTCAATCTTATCTTAAGGTCAAAACTTTTAAAGAATGTATACATGGCTCTAGGCTTTCAGTTCAGTTAAGGTCAAAAAACACTCACAACTTATCATTTAGATTGCATAGAGATACACAAGCAGGCATTCTTGTGACCATTTCATTCACAAATTGTTTATGATTACCCAGATTTTAATTCCCATTTTAAAACAAGTACCCCAAAAAAAAGTTATACCAAGAACTGGATTAAAACCTACAACAGACATTTTTTAAAATGAGCAGAGAAATCAATTTACTAACTCTTAACTACTTCTCTGCAGACAGCAGCAGTGCCTTTGCACTTTATTTCACTGACCCACCTGGTATTTCCAAAGAGAGGGCTGTTAGGAATTGTTTTCTTTTGCATCAGCTTTTCAAACACTTTTAGAAAGTCTTTTTTTCTTCTGGTTAACAAAGTATTATGTTTATTGAAGAAAAACTGAGCAAAGCACAACATAACAATCACCTACAAACCCAATAAGTAAAGATGACTATCAGTATTAATATTCTGATACACATTACAAGTACTTTGTGCTTTTTTAAAATGTTTATTCTTAATTTTAAAATGTTTTAAATTTTATTTTGTGCTTTTATATGCAATTTTTATAAAATCTTTTTTTTTTTTTTTTTTTTGAGATAAGGGTCTCACTCTTTCACCCAAGCTGAACTTGAACTACTGCACTCAAGTGATCCTCTAGCCTCAGCCTGCCGGATAGCTAGGACTACAGGTGCATGCCACCATGTGCCTGGCTAATTTTTTTTTTTTTTTTTTAATAAAGATGGTCTTGCTATGTTGCCCCGGCTAGTCTTGAACTTCTGAGCTCAAATGATCCTCCTGCCTGGGCTTCTGAAAGCACTAAGATTATAGGCCTGACACGCTGCACCCTGCCTGGGTCTTTTTAAGTTTTACTTACCAACCGTTAATACTGTTGTATTTGTTTTGTAATATAAACTAAATACTACTTTGCCATATTTATTCAATTCCTCTCTCTTGTTAATATATGTGAATGAATATGTGCAGTTGTCTTAACAGTATATGTGGAGAATGGTTCCAGACCCATCCCTACAACCTGAATATGCAAATCCGTACATACTGAAGTCCTGCAGTTGTTGCAGATCCCACCAAAAAGTCAGTCCTCTGTATATTCAGGTTTCACATCCTGTGAATGGTGTATTTTCGATTGGTGTTAGGTTGATAAAAACCCGAATATAAGCAGACCCCGTATTGGTCAAGGGTCATGTATCTAGACGTGTATATACACCTACACACACATACTCATACACGTGCATTTGTTTCCTCAACTGAGACATTAGGTCCTTTTACCCCTAAATAATTCAGTGTGAATTTCCTAAGATTAAAGATAGTCTCATATAGTCGCAGTATAATTAGCACATTCAGGACTTAGCCCTAATACAGTATTATTATCTAACATACAATTCATTTTCAAATTTTGTCAACTGTCTCCCAAAACTAACTTTGTGAAATTTTTTCTCCCTGAGCCAAGGATCTATTACTGTAATAATAATCCAAGGATCTATTATGATAATATTATAATGTATTACCATGTATCTAGGTGTCATGTGGTTTTAGTCTCCTTTAACTCTGAAGAGTTCTTAGTTTTCCTTGTGTTTTATGACTTTTTATAGAGCACAGGCTAACTGCATCATAGAATGTCCCTCATTTTTTACTTGTCTGAAGTTTCTTCATGATTAGATTTAGGTTAGACACTTGGGCAGGAATAAGGAATACTACAGAAATGATAATGCATTCTCAGTATATCATATGAAGATGTACTGAGGCATGTAATGTTAGTTTATCCCATTATTGGTGATACTAACTGGTCACTAGGTAAAGGTAATATCTGTCAGAGTTTAACTATAAAGCTACCTTTTTGAAAAAAAAAAAAAAAAAAAAAAAAAAAAAAAAAAAAAAA